CTCCAGACTTTATCCCACTGCCTCATTTGCAGATCCAACCCCCCCAGAGCAAGGCACAGAATCTTTCTGGGAAAGCCTGGCTGCTTGCAGCCTATGGTGTTTGCATTCTGTATCTGACATCCTTTGAGGCTTCATAGATCCTGGGCTCAAGGAGTATCTTTCTGACCTGTATAAAAGTGATTGGCTTCCTTTACCTTGGTAGATGCAAAGAGTCTTAAGATGCTACAGATCAGGTAAAGGTTGCTGACAGGGATGGCTCAAAGGCTATGAAGTACCCAACCACCTGTAGCTAATAAGGGGTCAAAACAGATGCAGAAACAACAATATTTAATAATTTTCTCTTTTTCTAGTAACTCCCATTCCAGATTGGAGTGTTTTTTATAATCATAATCATTAATGAATCATGCTTCCTTATGAAGTACTATTCACATTGTACAGTTGGGGAAACTGAGGTACAGAGAGGCACAGGCAAAGTGGCTTGCTCAAGGTCACCCCTGGGTCATCTTCAGAGCCAGTAATAGGAGTCCTGACTCCCAGCTCACCTACCATAAGGCCCCTCTACCCTCCCAGTGCTGGGGTAGAACCCAGGAGTCTGACTCCCAGCCCATCCATCATGAAACCCATTTTTAAAATGGGGTCTGGAGAGCACCCGAGCTTCAGCAAAGGCACTATACAAGCAGACAGGCGTTTTACCACGAGAGCCACATTGGGCTCAAGATAGCCTCTGAATTGCACGGTGTGTTTCAAAGCCAGCAGAGCCCACTCAACTTTCTTCTCTTGTATCTAAACTTCCATATACTTCCTTCAGTGGAGTTTCACCGGCAAATTATAAAGTGGGGAGAAAAGCCAGAGCAAAATTGAGGCCTGGAGCGACGTTCAACTCCCACCCTTTCCCCCAACACATCCACCACACACGGAGTGGTCAGCTTCACCATTACCACCAGCAGCAGCATTTCTGAACCCCAAGTCAAACCCGCTCCCAGCTCATTCCGCACCCCGAAAGAGGCTGCTAGTCCTAGAACACACAGCGGAAGGCACCTTCCGAACCCTGCCCCCGCCGCAGCAAGGACGTCCTTTGTTCAGCCTTCACCGGCTCCCCCACCATGTGCTTTTTCCTCTTAAAGGGACACACACTTGTACATAAAACTCTTGCTGTTTATTATGGTTTGGTTATAGCAGGAGGAGCGGGTCTCAGGACTTTGCTCTCCCTCCCGGAGCTGGGAGTAGAGTCTACTGGATTAAAGGGCAAAACTAAGCGTCAGAACTCCTGGGGTCGCTTCCGAGCTCTGCAGCACACTCCCTGCCTGCCCTGAAACAAGTCACCAAATCATGCGGGGGGGAGGACTAAGGAAAAGCCTTTCTGCACCACATATAGTTTAACATTTATTCCAAACCTAACACATGGGTGGATGGCAAAAATTAAATTCAGATTAGCAAAGGATTCAAAACGAGCTAAAGATCTTGCAACTTACCAAGCATGCCGGTCTGGGAGTACAGGAACAGCAAGCACTGTGGGTGAATGATGATGAAAGAGACAGAAACAAAATGAGAGGATGTGGTAGGTGGGACAGGAAAGAAAGCAGCTTTTGCAATTGGCTGAGAGCATACGCCAGTCCTTCTCTCATTTCCCTGAATCAAGACCAGATGCAGGCTAAATGGTGGAGAGGGATAGTTCAGTGGTTTGAGCATTGGCCTGCTAAACCCAGGGTTGTGAATTCAATCCTTGAGGGGGCCATTTAGGGATGTGGGGCAACTATGGGGGATTGGTCCTGCTTTGAGCAAGGGTTTGGACTAGATGACCTCCCTTCCAACCCTGATATTTTATGATATTCAAAACTGCCTAGCAGACATGTTTACCATTTCTAGAAGTCAGCCCACTTATTTAGGAGGCTAAATCAGGATTTCAGAATCTAAATTTAAGGCTTCTGGTTTTGAAAATTTAGCCTTGGAATTTTGGGGTCATTTTGATCCCCAAATCCCTTACAAATAGTGTAATATCAATAAACCTATTTCACATTTATATAGCACTTTGGATTTTCCTCATTCTGAATTCCAGGACTGGAAAATACAGAAAGATACTGGGAGGAGAGAGCCAAGTTTCTAAAGGTTGTTTAGGAGCCTAAGGTGCTGAAAAGCACCTAGTGCAGTGGTTCCCAAATGGGTTTGTGAACCCCTGGGGGTTCGCAAAATGTTACAGGGGGTTCTCAGGAAAATATTCCCTAATGGCAGACAGAGCTGTCTCTAGGGACCCCGGGCAGCACAGGACCAGCCGCCCTGAGCCCCTGGACTTCCCAGAGCTAACCAGATCAAAGCAAGCATATCTGTCACACTGAGGAGATTTAAACTTCAAGACTCCTTATAAGAAATGGAAAGGGGGGTGGATATTTTCTGCTATGTTTAAAATTAAATAGACAGCTAGTATTGTTTTTAAAATGATTATGAAGAACAAGTTTAAGCTTTGTTGTAACATGCGTTGTTTTTCTGGATTGCTCGAGACGTGAATGCTTGTGTAGGAGGAACTCTCTGAGTTGCCTTCTTAAATACCTTCATGCTATTTCACATCTGATAGTCCTTGATGAAACATAGGAGCCTTGTCTTATAACAGGCTTATTCAAAGTGATACAAGCAACGAAAGTGAGATCTTGGAAGAGTGTTGCCATTTTCATAACATAATAAAAATACTGTAATGATAAATAATAATAAATAGTGTGTAATAAGCATGTCATAAAAACAATTTTTATATTTCGAAGATCACTGCTTTTGTAATTTATATTCAGGTAAAGGAGAAAATCCCTGGAAATATTCATTTTTAGGAGGGGGTTTGTGAGACTTGACATTTTAGTGAAAGGGGTTCACAGGTTGTTAAAGTTTGGGAACCACTGACCTAGTGGGATTTCAAAAATACCTAGGCACCCTAACTTCCATAGGCACCTAATTCCCTCACATGCCTTTGACAATCCTAATCTAGATCCAGATTCAGAGTCAACAAAGGCTGTGGGAGGCATCAGCAATGCAGGACTTGGATAACATTTATGGGTAACATAAATGTGGGAAATCTTGGAAAAATCTGCAAAGGAAAATAATAAAATCCATTGTGTACCATGCTTCCTACCAGACTGTGCTCTCACTTACACTGACATAACCCCGTTAACTTCAGTGGAGTTGCTCCAGGTTTAAACTGGTGTATTTCACAGCAGAATTTTCCTTTCCGTGGGTAGCCCAAAGGTAGGCATCATTGTCGCCATTTTACAGGTGGAGAAACAGGCTCAGAAAGAGGTGAAGGTGCAGATCCTCAAAGGTAATGAGGCATATAACTCCCACTGGGAATTAAGCACCTAAATATCTGTGAGATCTGGGCCCAAGTGACTTGTCTGAGTCCCTGGCCCAGCTGAGAATAGAACCCAGGTGTCCTGATTCCTGCTCCCTTGTAGTAACCACTCGCTCACTCACCTTCCAAAGCCCAGTATATAACCCAGGGGTCCTGACTCCCAGGTCCTCCTGTTCCCCAATGGGGAAGAGCTGAGAAAGAAAACAAAGAAAATTAGCTGTTGCTACCAGCTAATCAAACAATATGCACAAACCTCTTAGGACACCAAATAGCCAATTCTGTTCTTTAAAAAGGTAAATTTTATTAAAAATAAAAAGAAAGAAAATACATCTGGAACTTAGGCTTTTTCTAGATTTTTAAAAGAGCTATTCCAAAAATTAACCACCCAAAATAGCTTTCTTGGGGGTTCAGTTTAAAGGTCACAAACAAACAAAAAGCATCTGGGGTTAGCACAGAGAAGTCCACAAGCCTTAAAAAAGTAAACAGAAATAAACCTAATCACGTCTTTCTAAACATTCCTAATTTACTTACATATTTGGGAGGTTTCAAATAAGTAATTTTAGGTATAATCTGATGATTTCTCACACGTGGTTTAAAGCTGATTATAGCGTAGTTATGCCCTTGCTTTGCTCTGTTCCCCGCTCTCCAGTGAACAGCCACAGACACAAATGTTACACAGATAAAATTACACAGGATCGTTTCAGGGGACAAGACAAGATGTCGTGTTTATTATAATAACACAATTTGATTTAAGACGAATAACTAATATCTAATACCTATGTATACACACACACACATCACACATCAAATGTTCTGCAGCTGCTAGATAGTTACCAGTCCTGAATGTAGCTTGAGTGTGTGGCTTGGTTTCGCAGCTTGGGATCGTAGCTCGTGGTGGCTAACTGGCCAGGAAAGCCAGGCACGAGGAAGGGCTGGGTCTCTGTCGGGCGCGCACCGATGCCCCTTGATGCTGGAGGCAGAATGTTACCCAAAGTCTTCACTCTCACCCATCTTTTTTATAGATTTTTAGTTTGAATCCAAAGTCTATAGGTTTTGCTGTGTCACGCTGCCTCTGGGTTCGGTGTGATTGATCACCCGTCAATTGCAGACATGACTTTCAGCCTGAAACCTGACTTTGATCTTCCTTCCATTGTACTTGTGTTGTTCTTTTCTTTTTAGGGTGGACCCTTCTTACTTGTTTAGGGCTGTTGTCTGCATCTTCAGCCGTTGGTGTTTGAACTTTATTTCATCAGGACAGGCTGGGGCTGGAGGTTGATTCCATCATCCCTACATACCTCATTCACACGTTTAAACTAAACTAATAAGATTACAGCAGGGTTTTGCAAAAATGAAGGTTGCAACAAGCTTTTACAAAATGGAGTGAGCATTTCAAAATGGAGTTTGGGACAAGTTAAAATGGAGTTTGGGTTACAATATGGACAAGTGTAAGGAATGGCAAATAGAGAACAGAAGTTACAATGTTGAAATAGTGCAAGTTTCAGTGATTTAAGCAGCAATTGGATTGAAAGTGAAACTCAATTAGCCAGTTATTGGGGTACCTGGTTTTATGAATGAATGTAGTTTCATTCATTTTACTTATGAAGTTATATTAATAAAGTGAGCCATTAAAAACAATTTCATTGACCAGTTCTACACAAAGGGAAAGCTTCCTTCCCAATTTTAAAAAGTTCTAGCCTTCTCATTGGTTCTTTTGGTCACGTGCCCCTTTTCTTTACCTGGGGGACTTTTTTAACCCTTTACAGGTAAAACAAGCAGAGAACAGCTACCAAGAGAGATTATACAGCTAACTGGCTGGTTGAGAGTCCATAAAAGGGAGCTACTCACCGCCTCTTCATTTATCACAGGGGCTAACAGAGGAGTGGGTGAGAGTGAAAAGGCCTGGGTTTTCTGTCCTGCGCAGGAGGGAGTGGAGAGGTAAGGAAAAACAATTGTCATCCAGCCCCCTGCCCCAGATCAGCGCCTCGGCACAGCCACCCTGGTCCCCCTCATCCATTCCCTGCCTCCAAATCAGGCCCTCAGCCCAGCTAGTTGATCTGTGGGGCATGGAAGGAGGTGGGAAGACCAGGCTGGATGGGCTGAGGGGCTGATCCGGGGGTAGGGAAGGGAGCAGGGAGACCAGGCTGCGTGGGCCGAGGGACTGATCAGGGGCAGGGAAGGCACGGCTGGCCTTACCATGAGATGAACTGAGGCGGCCGCCTTAGGTGGCAGACTGTGTGGGGCGCCGCTAGGACCCAGAGTGTAGAAAATTGTGGCTGCTGCTGGTGCATATGTATTCTCTCTGCTCTAGATGCACAGAGATGGTGGAGTGCTGTGCTGGAGGAAAGAGGGCACAAGAGACATAACAGGTAGACAGGAGAAAAGGTGAGAGGGAATAACAGAAAGCAGCAGGAGCTTCAGGGAGAGAGAGGAGGAGGAGCCATGAGAAGGCAGCAAATCACCAGAGAGCATTCCATAGTGGCAAGTATTCCATAGTTGAGATGAGACTAAGGTTAAAGGCCACCACAGATGATCAGCATCAAGAGAAGATTGCATCAGAGTCTCGTTACTAGTAAAATGTTCTGAAAAAGGTTCATTGCCATTGTGAGAATGCTTGCTACCCAAAACCTAGCACTGCGTGGCACTTCAGATCAGCTGTATGTGCCAAACAGTGGAAACGTCCTTAAAATTGTGGAGCTGATGGCTGAGTTTGATGCTGTACACTAGGAGCATCTAAGAAGAGTCACCACCCAAGAAATGTACACACATCACTACCTTGGAAAAACAATTCAAAATGAGATCATACAGTTACTGGCAACAAAAGTCAAACAGAAGATTGTGGCAGATCTGAAGTCAGCAAGATATTACTCTCAAAAAAAGAAAAGGAGGACTTGTGGCACCTTAGAGACTAACCAATTTATTTGAGCATGCAGCATGCAGCTCAAATATACTAACCAATTTATTTGAGCATGCAGCTTCCACGGTATGCATCTGATGAAGTGAGCTGTAGCTCACGAAAGCTCATGCTCAAATAAATTGGTTAGTTCCACGGTATGCATCTGATGAAGTGAGCTGTAGCTCACGAAAGCTCATGCTCAAATAAATTGGTTAGTCTCTAAGGTGCCACAAGTACTCCTTTTCTTTTTGCGAATACAGACTAACACGGCTGTTACTCTGAAAGATATTACTCTGTTATTCTGGACTGCACACCTGACATCAGCCATATGGAATAAATGACTTTAATAGTGCATTTTGTAACAACAACAGAACCTAGT